GGATAGGCCCGGCCTCCAGTGGCGAGAGAATGTCGGCATGAGTTAAGCAGCGGGCGCTTCCAGGCCCTAAACAGAAGCAGACCGTAAGCCTGAGCGACTATCAGTTGGTGAGTGACATAGCGTGCACTGTGGTCGCTGCCTGCGTGGGAGCAACTGGGGAGCCATGCCAGGAAGCACCACCAAAGTCGACGATCCGCTGCCATGCCGCACCAGGGTAGGCCTGGCCTCAGGTGGCGAGAGCCATGCAACATGATGTGAACAGCGGGCGCTGCCAGGCCACGAGAAGAGCAATCAGGAAGTGCAAGGCCTGGAGTTGTTGATCGGGCCAGCCGCCCAGGGCCCCCCTCGGTGGCCGCCAGCCTCCGCCCACCTCGGCGGGCGGCACGCTCACCACCGGAAGGGGCGACGACGCACCGGTACACCCGGAGCATGGCCACACCGTCGCAGGGACGGCCGCCAGCGGCAGAACCGCAGGCGTGCCCAGATGCAGACTGGCGCCTCCTGTGGGAGCACCAGGCGCACAGAACCATGTCAGGCAGACCACCTTGACATAACAGACCCATCCACGGGCCAAGAAGTTTGCCCGAATGGGCTCTGGGACCCCCTCGAGGAAGAGGTCGAAGTGTGGGCCGGCGGCCGATAAGATGACTACACAGGTGTTGTCACTGCACGACACTATGCCTCGTGCCTGGAGAAACTACCATTCCAGACAATAATATTCGGATGCCTCTGATTGTCGAGGGCTGCCAACTGGGGTGTTGGGCGCCCGCGCCTCTCGCTCGGTCGGCGAGACGCTGGCAATACGCATACATGCTAGCATGACAGGCACGTAACACGCTGCTTTGTCGAAAAATATCCCATGGCCCTGGTGCACTTGAATCCAGCCATCACCCGTGTCAGTGCCTGTGAATGTGGAGTCCCACGGCTGGTTTCAGGTAGGGTGTTGATCCTCTAGACACTTGGAAAGGCGAACTTACACGGCCTTGCGGGAAGGCGAAGTTTGCTCCCGCACCCGTAAGCAGTGCGCAGTGTCCGCTACCTCATCTCCCACAGTGTAGCCCTGAGCTGCGAGCTCGTCCGCGGAGCATCCCGACGTCAAGGCCTCAGCAATCTTGTCCGCGGCGTAACCCTGCAAGGCAAGACACTCAATCCTCCGCTGCTCCGTCTCCAGCAGGTGGCACTCCAGGCTTACCGGCTTTGAGATCATGACCCACCCCACTGGCTCCGAGGGCACCTGCATTTCTCTAGCAAGATGAGCGTGATCGTCCTCTGGAGTGGCCTCGTCGTCCTCTGGGTTTCCGTCGACACCGCTGGATAGGTCGCCGCCAAGGTTGCTGCCTGCCACTGACGTCCCGGATGGGTGCGGTGTGCCCCGCATGCCCCTGACGACGCGCTTACCCTCCGTGTCCACATAGTATTCATATCCGGGGGTCTCAGACTGCCGAGGGCTGCCTGTTGGAAGCGACCGCTCTCGGCCGGGTGGCGGCATGCCTCGGCGGCGCCCACTCGTGTAGCGCTGTCCGCCACGGCCCTCGTCGAGATTTCCCTTGCTGCTCGTCGAGCCGGATGGCTCTTCTGCCTCCATGTCGTGCCCAGTTCTGCCTGCCAGCCCGCTCTGGTATGCGAAGTCCTGGGAGTCCGCGGTGGAGAGGTCTGTGCCCTGCTCATCGTCCTCCAGGTCGTCATCGCTGCCGCTGGACAAGTCGCCACTCGGGTTGCTGCCCGGCGTGGGCGCGCGGCTAGCCATCGGCGTTCCACAGCGGCGGTTTAACGTATAGCTGCGGCCCCCCGAGGGCGTTGGGTTCAGCAATTCATGATGCTCTTGGCCTGGGTGGAAATCGGATGCCGCGCGCCTGAAACACTGCACGGGCCCAGGGGAGGACTGTGCTGAGGGCGCTGACTTCACAGGCCCCTCCACCCCCTGGCCCGTGCCATAAGTACCAAATCTCATAGTATTGCCCCCAATCATCTATATCCAGCTGCTCTTGAATGCATTGGTCTAGCTCGTCATTGTAGCCGCTCTGCTGCACGTCGTGGTGGTCGATCAGGCACCCGTCGTAGAACATGCGCGTTTCCTGCACGAACACGGGGGCCTCGGTTCGCAGCTGGGACACCGGTGCTCCTTCTGTGCGGCGTCATTGTGTGGTTTGTGTGCTGTTGTTGCACGCCAGAGTGTTCCGATATCTCCAGCGCGCACTCGTGTGCATTTGCGGCACGCATTGCCAAGCCTCCGTACCGCAGCGCGGAGGTGCCTCACCGTAGTGGTATCTCTCGTCATGGGGTAATGGGAGCTCTGCTCGCACGTCCTTCACGGACTTCTGCAACAGCTGTACCTGCTGGTCGCGCTCGCAGCCAGGGCACCCGTCGTAGAACATGCGCGTTTCCTGCACGAACACGGGGGCCTCGGTTCGCAGCTGGGACACCGGTGCTTCCTTCTGTGCGGCGTCATTGTGTGGTTTGTGTGCTGTTGTTGCACGCCAGAGTGTTCCGATATCTCCAGCGCGCACTCGTGTGCATTTGCGGCACGCATTGCCAAGCCTCCGTACCGCAGCGCGGAGGTGCTTCACCGTAGTGGTATCTCTCGTCATGGCGTTATCGGAGCTCTGCTCGCACGTCCTTCACGGACTTCTGCAACAGCTGTACCTGCTGGTCGCGCTCGCAGCCAGGCCTGCAGCAGGGATAAGCAGAGACTTGTCCAAGGTTAAGCTTCTTCAGCGTGCCCGTGACACACCGGAATGTACACGAAGCGGTCGGATTTTGGCAGCCTCGCAGTGCAGCACCACAGCGCCGCGCCGAGAGCGAGGCGGGACGCGGGGGGGGGCCGCCCCCGCATCTATGGCCGATGGGGGGTGGAGGCGCGCGGGCCGCCTTGGCGCCTCGGCTGGGCGCCGCCGCGAGGGGCCTGGGACCTGTTCCCACCCGGCCTCTGGCGGATACGCCCTCTCCTCCTCCTCCTCCTCCTCCTCCTCCTCCTTCTCCTCCTCCTCCTCCTCCTCCTCCTCCTCCTGGAGGCTCTCTGGAGTGCTCCTTGGGGGTGGGGGGGGCTCTTCCTCCAGAGGACGCGGTGCTGTCCTCGAGGAGGCGACGTGGCCTCAGTGAGCTCCCCGCCTGTGCACGAGGGATCAGAGATCTGGGCGGTGTGTTTCGATCAGAAAAGACCCCCTATCCATACGACCACCCTTCGGGTGATAAGGAGGTTGTGGGGGGAAACAACATTTGACCCACTCGATTTCACGATCGATCTCATTCAACGGGACACCACGGGACACCACGAAACGAAACGATTTCCCGGTTGGGGGTCTCCGATCGACAGCGATCTCACCCCCCAACATCCAATCCAGATTGTTCTTGGCCCTCCTAGCTCAGGTCCCCTCCCAAAGGGTGAGGGGCCCTCTTTGGGGCAATCACCCTGGCATCGCCGCAGTGTGCGCGCCGCCCACAGGAAGTCGGCGCTCGGTGGAGGGTCGTGGAGGCCCCAGGAGCCCGTCCTGCTGGAGCTGCTAAGGGACGGCTCTGGCACGCCGAGCGACGTGTGGATGCAGGCGAGCTTCGAGACGCAGCTGCGCAGGCTGCTGAGGTCGGGTGCCGACGAAACTTGCTTAGCTGATACGCCCGTGCCGACACGCAACGTGTAACGTATTCGAAACGCGCGGGTTGAACGCGATGCGTGGTGGTTGGTACGTTGTGGCCCACCTTTTGGCGACCGTATCGCACCAGACCTGTCCTTTCAATATACGTGCGGAGACCCGTGTCAGCACGGTACGTGTTGCGTGTCGCGTATCGGGGCAGCTAAGGGACAAAGTGTTCCTGGCCTAAAGTGCCCCCAGCTTCTGGGCCGCTTGGGGTCCTCGGGAGCCCCCCCTTTTGAGCCTGGGTTGGTAAGGCTTCTGGTTGCGCACAGACAGGCCCCCTGGGCAGTCTCTGATGGCCTCAAACTGGTGCCCCCGAGTAGTCTAGGGCGGTCTCAACACCCTGGCGCCACCTCCGGCGGTGCCCTTGGGGCGCTCCGCGCCCCAGGGTTAAGGTGTCGAGACCACCCTGGGCTACTCGGGGCGTGCGTTGAGGCTAGCAACGACTGCCTGGGGGCTTGTCTGCGCGCAACCCGAAGCCTTACCAGCCTAGGCTAGGGCCATCTGGGGCCACCAGGGCCTCTCTCTCTCTCTCTCTCTCCTTTGGCTAGGACCATGTCTGTCAACGCCCTCTGAGGGAGCACCCCTACCTGGGGCGAGGCAACTCGGTTCAGCCGCACCCGCTGCAGTATTTGTTCGGGCGATGCAGGGAGATGTCCCAGGCACGGCAGTTCGGCCGCGCTCAGGGCAGCTTGCGCCGGCTCGTCTCTGGAGTGCGGGACGAGGAGGCGCTGGCCACCGAGGCTTTCCGCCGCTTCGACGCAGACCAGGCCGGAGAGCTGGACCCCACGAAGTTCAGGCACATGTGCGCGTACCTCGGGTGGGACGCGTCGGACGTCGGCCACGCGCAGAGGGGGGTGCGGGGGAGGGGGGGGAAGGCGTCTCAGCAGCACCCCTGCTTCTTCGAAGGCGCGGGCCTTGTCTGTAGATGTAGGGCCGGTGCCTTCTAAGAAGCAGCCTCCTAAGAAGCCTTCCCCCCTCCCCCTACCCCCTTGTGCGCGCCGCCAAGGACGAGAAGATCTTGGACCTTGACGGGGACGGCAAGGTCACTCCGAGGGATCTGGTGCGCTTCGTGGGGCACATGGGCGGCGCGCGCCAGTTCTTCGAGAGGCGCCGCCAGAGAGTCTCCACGAGCCGCAAGGACCTGGGAGGGAAGCGTGGACACAGGCACAGATGGAATGCTGGAAATCCAGGACTGAATGAATGAAGCCGCGTGTCCGTAGGCACATGAGCAATGGCGAACCCGAAAATCCACAAGTCGATGAAAAATAGAGGGAGTCCTGGAATTCCTGTCTGTTTATTTGCGCATCCCTGGGCGCCTGCAAGGACGTGGATCATGCAGGCATCGCGGTCGGAGCCAAAGTGAAGGCACACTTCTACGTGCAGGAGCAGAAGTCGACCATGTGGCGTGAGGCCACCGTCTGCGAGGTCGGCGTGGCGAGGCAGGGACACGACACGACAGGGCCCTCAACGTTCGGCTGCAGACTCCTGTTCAAGTTCGGCCCTGGTGACAAGTGGAAAGTCAAGCAGGTGGTTCCGATCCACTGGGTGTTGGGACAGGTGATCGTCTTATTATTCGTTGTTTTGCCGATCGGCGCGGGCCCTCGCCCCCCCCCCCTCCCCCCCCCGCGGAGTAGATACTGATTGTCTTGGCGCCTGTTTCACGCGGGTGGAATTTCCCCTGTAGGACGCACTGTTGCAAACAGTCGCATTAAGCAGAGGTCCGGAGCCAGACCTCCCCACCCGCTCTTCCGCCCAATGTCGAAACGCCGAGTAAGGAAACGCTCACCAGGTCGACAACCCAGGGGTCAACACAGCTCTGCGGGAGACTGGTATCCTTCAGGAGCATCAGTCCTATTGGAGCTCGCTGGCGCAAAGAGAGGGCCATCATCTTCCTCCTCCTCCTCCTCCTCCTCCGCCTCCTCCTCCTCCTCCTCTTCCTCATCCTCCTCTGCTCCAGGGGTGCACGCCAGTCGCTGACAGCAGACATGTCTGAGTTCCAGATCCTAGTCTACTACTCAAGCGCAGGCGCCCTCCTATACTTCAAGAGTCGATGCGCTTAGGCTGTGTTTCGTTATGCTCTGCAGAGGTCCCGACCCCTTCTCCAGGGATGCACGCCTGTCGCTGACTGTAGGTGTTTCTAAATTCCCAGATCCCAATCCACTTCAAGCGCCTTCCTACCTCAAGAGTCGATATGCTTCTGCTGTGTGTTCAATCTACTTCGAGCGTCTTCCTGCTCAAGGAGTCGATCTGATTTTGCTGTGTGTTCGTGGTTATTCGGGAGGGCCTGAGCCCAATCCGTACACTTGACCCGCCTCCCTGCGTCCTGCTTTTGCCCGCTTCTGCCGACCGACGTGCAACCCGTCGCCCCCCCAGATCCGTCGCTGATGTGGCCCCCACGGGCAAGAGATCGAGGCCCCAGGGGGGCCGCGGCAACAGTCATGTACCGTCGGAGCGCCTGGGCCCCCGGGCGCGCCTCCGAGGAGCATGATCCTGCCCGACACGGAGCTCCTCACCATGGAGCGCCTCACGGCGTGCCAGAGGCTGGCCCTCAGGAACGTCCGGGAGAGGGCCGAGCAGCGCCACGCAGAGGCTCTGGGCCTCCCCGATGGGGTCCGAGCAGGTGGGGTCGGAGGATCGCGCCGCATCGCCGATGCGGCTAGATGTGGAGCCCGTGATTCCCCCAACCCGACGTCGGCGATGCACTGCCGACGTCCCCGATGCATCGCCGATGCATCGGCGATACGTCGGCGATGCATTGGCGAGGCGGCGCGATCCTTCGACCCCATCTACTCGGGCCCCATCTAGGGGGCCTCTGGAGGCTCTCGACCCCATGCGGGCGCGCCTGAAGGGCCTGGGCTACGACGAGCACACGCTGGGGATGGTGCTCGACTGGGTGCAGGAGACCCCCGACCTCCCCCTCGTGGCTCCGAGAATCACGGCGGGCTGTCCCGGGCGCTGCTCGGCCTCCGGGGGCCCTCCCCGGGCCCCGCGACCGCCAAGAGACGGCTCGGGGGTGAAAGGTCGAGACTCGTGATGTTCCAACCTACTTGTAGCCCCGGCCACCGGAAAGCATTCCGAGCACCAAGAGAAAGCACCGAAGTTGGAGGGTCTTCACGCGTCGGGCCCTGGGAGGCGATACTCGTTCGACAGTGGTTCGATACTGCCCTGGGTGCTCGAAATTGTTTGGGGGATGTCGCCCCTCAGTATGATGGGAGCAACAGAGGTCGAAAGAATCAGGGCATCCGACCCCAGGCGATATTCCTGGTGCTCGCAGACGTGCCGTGTGGCCCCGCGGCGCCATTGCGCACCGCCCGGCCCAGGGCCCCGTTGTTGCCCCTCTCGGGCTTCGCGTGGGGCGCCCTGAGGCAAGAACAAACCACATGTCAAGCATCAACTTCTGGTAGGTGGTCGTTTTTGAATCGTTGTTTTGCCCATCGGCGCGGGCCCTCGCACCCCGCCCTCCGCCCCCCCCCCCCTGGAGCAGATCTTGGCTGTTTTGGGCGCCTGCTTCGGGCAGGCGGAGTCTCTCCCCCATCGGACGCACTGCTCCAAACAGTCGCACTAAGCAGAGGCTCAGAGCCAGACCCCCCCCCCTCCCCCCGCCCTCCACCAGATGTCGAAACGCCGACGAATCAGAAAACGCTCACCGGTGGATGTCCGCCGACGACACCTCCTCCCCGCACCCATGGGCGGCGCCTTCGGCCCCGCCCCTGCAACGTTTCGGCGAGGGCGTCCAGCGCCGGCGGAGATGTGCTGTCCACGGATGTCCGAAGATTGTGCTTGCGAGTCTCTCCTGGCCTGCCAGGATTTGGCTCCCATGGTAGTCCACGTGAAGTTGGACGACATGGGTCGGTTCCTGGAGACCGACGATTATCCAAATGCTTGCGGCAAGCTCCGCCGCCTCGCCAGCACAACACTATGTGCGGCGGCCTTTCCAGATACGCACGAAGGAGTGTGCCATGTGGCAACCTTCGTCGCTCGTCTCTGAGGGGTAGGCGTAATATGTGACGACCTCGTCCGCGGGCTCGAGAGGACCGTCTCAAGCAGCAGTGTTGTCTTCACCGCGCAGCGAGCCGTAGCATGCGACCTCTCTTGTCAAGCCCTCCTGGGGCCCATCTGGGACCCTCTTGAGCAAGGCAGAGGGCATCAAGCAACGCACGTTGAAAAAACAGGCGCTGGTGGTTCTGAGGGCTTGAGCCACTTCTGTCTCTTTCGAGCCCTTTGAAGACGCCTGGGGGGCTTCTTGGAGCGCTCTTGGGCTGTCTTGGGGCGTTTGGGCACCCACGGAGGGCCCTCTTGAGCCGCCGTCTGGGCGGCCTCTCGGGCTCTCATGGACCTTGCTTCCGGCCGATTGGAGCCCTCTTGGGGTCTTCACGGACCGTCTTATGGAATCCTTGGACCATTCTTGGGCCGTCTTGGGGAAGTAGTAGGGGAGCTAGGGACGACGCACGTAAGTGGGGAAGCAATGTGGCATAGCTGCCGCTAGTCAACCAGGCCCGAGCATATCACTTGCTAGCTGAGGCTGGGCAATAGGACATGAGCGTGTCAGTTGTTAGTTCAGGCTGGGCAACCAGACCCAGGCGACTCACTTGTCAACTGAGGCTGGGCAACCAGACCCGAGCGTGTAGTGTGTTAGCCCCAGTTGGGCAACCAGGCCCGAGCGTGTCACTTGTTCACTCACGCTGGGCAGCCAGGCCCGAGCGAGTAACTTGTTGGCCTATTCAGGGCAGTCAGACCCGAGCGTGCCACTTGTTGGCTCCGGCTGGGCAACCAGACCCGAGCGCGTCACACCAAGCATTGCTTGACATTGATTGTCACAGCTTGGCATTGCTTGACATTGCTTGGTATTTTATGGCGTTGCTTGGCATTGCTTGGCGTTGCTGTGCTTGGCGTTGGTTGCCATTGGTTGGCAGTGGTTGGCATTCATTGACATTGCTCGGCAGTGCTTGACATTGCTTCGCATTGCATGGGCCCAGGATACCAGGAAGCAAGACAGGGGAACCCAAGGAACAAGACTAGGGAACCCGAGAAAGGAATGGAATCGGGGAAGGACTGAAAAACTCAAGGAACAAGACCGGGGAGCCCGAGCAGCGCCTGAAGGAAACCAAGACAGGGGAACCGAACAACCCCAGGGCCCACCTCAAAATGTGGGGTTGACACCCACCGGTTCTTCACGAAACAAGTCAGAACCTCTTAGACAAAGTTTCATTGCGGACGGGCGTGTTTCAGTAATTCGTAGTGTCTGGGCCATACATACTGGATCCATTTGAGCCTCTTGGGTTGTCTTCGCGGTATCTTGGACACCTCGTCGGCCGTCTTGGGAGTCCAAACAAATCTAGTCTGAACGATGTCCAGGCGCGCTGTCTTGATCGGGACAGTGAAGAAGCAGGCAGTGGGAAACAATGTGGATCAGCCTGATTAGACGCAGGACGAGGACGAGGAGGAGGACGAGCACGATAAGGAGGACGAGGAGGAGGACGAGGATGAGGAGGAGAAGGACGAAGAGGAGGAGGAGGAGGAGGAGGAGGAGGAGGAGGAGGGAGGAGGAGGACGAAAAGAAGGAGGAGGAGGAGCAGGAGGAGGACGAGCACGAGAAGAAGGAGGACGAGGAGGAGGACGAGAAGGAAGAGGACGAAGACGAGGAGGAGGAGGAGGAGGAGGAGGAGGAGAGCGAAGACTCTGGCAGCCAGCTTGGGGTCTTCTGGAGGCCATCTGAGGGAAATATTGTGACTCTTTCGCGGCCCTCTTGGGGCTAATTTGGAGGGTCTTGCGGTTCTCTTGGAGCTTGTTTGGGAGGTCTTGGGCCTCGCTTAGAGCCTTCTTAGAGTCCTCTTAAGAAACTTGGAAGGCCTCTTGGGGCCGTCTTGGAGGGCGTCGATCAAAAGGGGAGGTTCCTCGATTTCGGTCTCCCCTCTTGGCCATTAGAATCGCCTCTTTGGTCCCTCTTGTGTGCGCCCTTGGGGGGGCTCTTGGGCCCCTCGTGGGGCTCTCTTGGACCAGATTGGGGCCATCTTGACGCTTCAAAAGCTCATCGGGAAGCGAAAAAACATGATTGTCCATGTTGTTGAAGGGGTCCTTCGGTGGGCTCCGAGAGCACGTGGGGCCGTCTTGTGGCCCTCTTGGGGCCCTTCAGAGTCAGAGGTATGCCGGAAGCTATATTGAATTAGATTCGGCTATAGTTAGCCGTCTTGGAGGCCATCTTGGAGAACCAGGGACCTTCTTAGAGCCAGCATGAGCGAAGAAGTAAGCTATAACAGACCCCTGGAAGGAGGTAGGGGGAGGGGTGAAGCTACCCACAAGCAACAAGCCGTCTCGCTCCTTCACGCCCGCCCTCCCAACACATGAGTAGCACCCGAGTCTCAGGACAGACAGACACCGCCATCGACAACCGTCAGGAACCAATGCAGACGCCAGCCATGTGCGCGAAGCCCACGAGGTGCGCCGCACATGCCAGCTGCGCCACGCGCACCAGGTGCGCCACGTTGGTCCATGTGCCGACCCCCGCACAGTCCCTGTCAAGAACCAAAGCAACGTCACGGCGGGTTTGTTGCGTGCGGGCGTGCACCCACGATCGTTCTGCATTTGTTTGGTGGGCTTGCGCGCAGCAGGCAGCATGTCGCCCCCCAATGCCGTCCCTGGCAAAATGACCTCGTGTGCTTGCTTTTCCTTTTGATAGGGATGGTGGGCCTGCACAAAACAGGCAGTATACCGGCACTCTCGACGTCCTTGCGAAAGCCATTGCAGTGTGTGTGCATGAGGCGCCTGCGCATGATCCAGATGTTGGTGCAAAGTGCATGTTGTATTCAGCTGCTTGCGGCAAGCCCCGCCACCGTGCTTGCGCAACAGAAATGGGCGTGGAACAGCGCGATTCCGACCGAGTGGTGTGGTCTGATGAGGACGGGTCGTGAGCTCGAGAGCAGCCACTCCCCCTTGCCCATTTCCCCCCCTGCCCCGCGCGCGCGGAGGGTGCGGGGGCAACCGCTGCCCCCTCCCATTGCCCACTCGGCGTCGCGCGTGCGTGCGTGTGTGTCGACGGGTATCTTTTCCCCGAATCCATGTTGGGCGCGCGGAGTGGTGCGGGAAGGCAACCTATACATGCTCCCATGACCCCTTAGTGTTGCGCGTGGGAGTGCAAGTGAGTTTTCACTCCTCCCCCCCCCCCGGTACGGGAGCAGCCACTTTCTCTTTCCAGCTCGCTCTCTTCGTTGCGCGCGTTGAGAAACGAAGTGGGCGAGAGAGAGAGAGAGAGAACAAGAGAACAAGAGAGAAAGACACCACTATCCCCTCCGATGTCCGCCCATGCGCTGTCCGTGGAGGGTACGAGGTGCAATTGTGAGGGTTAACGACTGCCCACTCTCATTGCCCATTCTGCGTTGCGTGGAAAGTACGGGAGAGAGCAAGGGAGAGAGAGAGAGAGAGAGAGCGAGAGAGAGAGAGACAGCGAGAGAGATAGAGAGCAACCACTGCGCCGACCATTTCATCCACCCCTCTTGTGCATGCAGGGTACGAGAGAGAGAGAGCGAGAGAGAAACCGCTACCCCCTCCCACTTGGCAAAGAGGTAGAAGCGACGAGGAGGAGCATGCAGAATAAGTGAACTATACAGAACACGAATTGAGCGATGCCAAGCGAAATACATCATGAGCGAGAGAGAGTCGAGAGATCGACACAGAAAGAGAAGAGCAAAAGAGTGAGAGAGAGAGAGAGGAAGACTTTAAGCCTCTACCGGCATCAGCATCATCATCGTCATAATACACATTGATTGAATTCACGTTAGCATGACCAACACGATGTGGTAGAACAGGTCACAAGATATATCAGCCAGCGTTGATTCCAAAGATCGGAGGACAGGAGGAGGACGGGGGGATGACTAAAGGAGAACGGGAGCAGGACGGGAGGAGGACGGGAGGAGCAAGCAAGCGCAAGCAAGCAAGCGGAAGCAAGCAAGCGCCAGCAAGCAAGCGGAAGCAAGAAAGCGCCAGCGAGCAAGTGCAAGCACGCAAGGGCAAGCACGAGCAAGCAAGCGATAGGAAGCACGCAAGAGCAAGCAAGCAAGAGCACGCAAGAGCAAGTAGGGGCAAGCGACTCGTAGGAATCCATAGGAATCCACAGGACTCGCCAGTGGAAATAGCTGGGGGGTGCCATTGGAAATAAGGGGGGGTGCCACTGGCAAAAGGAGGGGGGAGGGAGGTGCCAGAAGAAATAAGGGGGGGTCATTGGAAAAAGCGGAGGGGAGAGCTAAAGACCAATTGCGTATGATGAGCTAGGACTCTTATAGGGCAAGCCTATTTGGAGAATAGACATAGGCACAGGCATAGGCGTAGGCATAGAAGTTAGGGGGGAGGCATTGGCATGAGCAAAGCCATATGGATTAGGGGTGGGGGTATAGGAATTAGGGGGAGGCAACGGACCAATTAGTAGTGTTTGAGTTAGCACTCCTACAGGGTAAGCCTATTTGGAGAACTACGTCAGAAAAAACTCGGGGACGTCGAGAAGAACAGTCGGCCTTTCGGGGGTCTCACAAGTTGTCTTGAAGCTATCTTGGAAGCATCATTGCCCGTCTTGGGCGGTCAGAAGCCCGAACAGGCGAGAATTTCAAAACCCGTCAAAAAATGGTTGTTGCTACCTAGGGCTATCTTGGACGGCCTCTTGGAGCCCTCTTGGGCCGTCTTGGGAGCATCTTGAGCTGCCTTGAGGCCGTCTGGGGAGCCTCTTTTGCAGTCTTGGGCCATCTTGGGCCGTCTTGGTGTCATCTTGACTGCCTTGGAAGCCGTCTTGGAGGCCATCTTGCCCGCTTAAAGGCCGAAAAGAGCGCCAGAAAGCAATTCCACAGGGGGGGATCTCAGAAGGACGTCTGCGTCGAGGCGGGG